ACAAGACGAAAATTGAATCCTAATCAGTAGAATCGAATTTTAATTCTATACGTTTACCCTGAAGACCGATGTAATGGTAGCATTATATTGTCGTATCATGCCTTCTGTAATTCCGTAATGCGTAAAATTGAGCTATTGAATGGTAATAAGGTCTATAATTTGACGAAAATGATACAGTACTAGCAGAAATGTACGTCTACGTATTTTGTAGTCAATAAGCGTAACTTAAGGCTGATATACGAATTACGGATTCCAAATAATACCATATTGAAGGTTGTAACCTTTTACATTATAATCCAATGGCAAATAACCAATTAATTGAATTATTCGTCACGCATTTTTCATTTATTGCCATGGCTGCCTGATGACTCTGTGACATATGGTGTGATACTATTATGAAAATACGAATAATTCTTTAGATCGTTCAGATTTCTAGGTGAAATAACGCATTTAATAACTTGCACATTAAGAGAGTATTGTAAATTTTAAATTTAACTCAAAAATTGAAACTATTATTGAAATTGAAAATCAAATTCAAGATCAAAATTTCTTCTAATAGATGTCTCCAGTTTGTGCCGTATCCATATACAACAGATTATTCGAAAATGATCTGAATTTTTATATGTACAGTACAGCATATACACTTCAGTTAATAGCATGAATTTGGCCCGGGAGTACAAATAACGATAATAAACTGATCAGTATACGATATCAGAAGTTATTGAAAATTCTTAGCCACCCTTCGAATTTAAAGACGAAGACTGATCGTAATTATTATCACGCATTAATTACAAGCGTCAATTCCAAAGCATTCCTTCTTTTAAACAATCCGTATTACCATAGTATGCGTATACGGCTAATAGAATTTTATTAAATATATCACTGGAGATCTATCTTTTTGTGATATAATTCAAATCATTCAAATCATATAGAGCAAACTGATTGATTGGCATTGGATAAACTCTCTCCAGGCAGTAATGATCCAAGTTAATTATTAGTGAACAAAGCAAATGATCAATATCGAACACTATGTAAACGCAATTGTACTTCTATTCATTATTCAATGTATCAAAGACAATGATGAGACCATATCTTGTACTCCCCGCACAGCTTGACAACTATTTTGTTCTCTTTACTGTACCGACCTTAGATCTTAGTAATTCCGGTAATTCTTTAAATATTAATTCAATTTTAATTCTAATCATTCTTGATTTGCTTAATTAGTCTGCAGTCTAGACTCTAGTTGGTACACTAAGTCTGTGGTAGTAATTAAGCGTACAGACCGATATCATTCAGTACTTTGTAACATGCTTTTTAAATACTGAATGAGTAATCTCGCCAAATCAAGCCATAGATTGTGGATCTGAAACACAAACTGTAATTGTTTGCTAATTTCTGTTCTCTGTTCTAAAACACTGTTATGATAGGTAATATATAATGCATATTGCTTGGGTGTACATCTACTGTACAAAATCGGCAATTCTTTATTATAATTTCAATGTGCTATATAGAAAATATAGCAACTGCGATTTAATATCGTAAGCAATAAGCTAGATCAAGAAACCAATGCACTTCATATGCGTTCATTGTATATGTAACGTCAGCTTCAAGCTATAAATAAATATATATTGTAAGAGAATAATCGATTGACCACGGATCATTCGATAAAAATAAAATAAATGACATTTTTATTTACTCTACAGTTAATACTGCAGACGGACATAGTACAAAATATTTTCACACACTTTCTAATGATAATAAAAAAAACAGCATAGTATACCTGCGTTTAGTACTATATAGTAACATTGGACTCTTAAATAGAGAACGAGAAGTATCAGACTAAATTATGTATTCAGGGCACAAGCTGTCTATAGAAAACATTTCACAACACTATCGTTTTCAAAGGTACCGTACAATAATACTCAAAACTAAATCTTTCACTACTACTAACCGTACTTACCCAACAAAAGCAATATCCTATTCTACGAAATCATGAATGAGAGATCTTTTTTAATTTGATGTCATGGTTTAGTACATGAAAGACTCCGTTTGTGGGATGGCCATGGTTTCACATAAAGTTGTCGCGCCAATTATAATTATGTATTTATTAGCATTTGTTGATCTTTAGGACAATAGCCATGTAATAAGTAATGTCTGACTACCACGGCGTCAAAATCAATTTGTGATTTTTGTTAATTCTTGCCGATTTACATAGCGTAAACACAGTAATTGTGTCCTTACCTTTATTGATAGATTAATTAGCAAAAATCGTAGGCGGCTTACGCGTATAGTATATTGATGAAGAACAAAACATATCATTAATTCATCATGTTCAGAATGTACCGTAGCCATAAGCAGCTGCATCAAACACTACAACAGTACAAAATGCTACAACATTATAAAACTAATATATCCATTTGTTCCATTAAGAAATGATAATTACGTGCATTTGCTTATCATTTATCTTTACTATGATATAAACGTAATTTTTCTTCTTATTCTACATACTATATCCCTTACTGTATATAATAAACCCTGTAATAAATAATATTCATATACTGTATATTTGTTTCGCATACCCCTAAGTGAAATACTGTGGCCTTTGTTTTGTCGCATAACGAAGATATTCTGTTTGCATAATTAATTAAAACGAACAGTATTACAAGTGTATGGGTAGCTGATTAGCTAAAAGCCTACACTGTAAGTGTACTGAGCAACCGAGTCAGCAAAAGCTGCTTACGATGATATTTAAGACATATATTTGTGCGTTGTATAGTATGCATTTTCCTGGGGTAATACGTCCAATATAGATTTAAAGTTAAAGAAAGGATCTTTAGTTAACGCGGTAAATAGAATACAAATACGTAATTCTCCTATCTACAGTGCATATAGAATCATCAAATTACCAACGGTGTAGGGATTGCTTTTGCCTTTATCCAATGAAGCGAATGAAGCAGAACTTATACTATATTATTATGGTGAACTGCAGACTACAGAATGGTTACTAGATCAAAGGTTTATTAAGGAAATTTTACCATTGCAACGTTCAATATTCTATCATAGTGCAATTCTAATGTACAGTACGCGGTATAGCAAGGTGATTTTACTGCTTCTCCTGATACACCTGAATACTCCACACTTGTCTCTATCCTATAATAACCTGGTGTGGCTAATTGCAATTTAAAATTGCTCAGGATTTACAAGCTGAATTATTGTATGCAGAGGGTAGCCAAGCCATTTGACAAATACACAGCGGAGACGTCTTTACATACGTATTAGGTACTACTAGCACTCTTTTACAGAAAGCGATTTCAAATTTTCAAAGGAATTAATCATGATTAGGGTATGCACGCCTGCATCTAGCTGATTAAGCCTCACTTCTTAATTTTCTTACTATGAATTTTATTTTTATAGAGCGCTATTCGATCACTGCTAACTGACAGTTTGCTTAAGACCATGTTTATGAAGCGTAGTTCGGTTAGATTGACTCAGTTATGTTTTGTTGTCGTAAAGACACCATTCTGGTTTAGAGATACTCTAGTTTATTGAGGCAAATAGAAAACTGTGCGTTATCAGACCATAAGACAGAGAAGTTGCTTCCTTCTGAAGATTTTTATGTTCTATTTATACTCGTACGCACACTGTACTCTCGTCTCATGCGATGTATATTTTAACTGACTGTATTCTGAGATAAGTTATTATCACATCTAATTACATTACAGACTCTGGCCTACGTATACCGCTACGTCGAAAGTATCGTATCGCATTATTAAGGAATTATGGTAGAATCTAGTCTAGTCGAGTGTACTACAGCACTGTGAAACAAGGGCGCAGAGTAGGAATGGACACCAGGTCCTTGTCAATATAGAGACTACTTCAACTCCGGAACGGACTGAGCAATAGTATTAATGGAATGTATGAGTATATATCAGAGGAAGTGTTTATCATTCGGTAAGATAATCCGAAATGAGAGTGTGAGAATCGTCATAATACGCAAATCGCTAGCCACAATGCATTAAATATATCGCGTTCGAGATTATATGTCTATATATTTACAACAACTAAAACTACTTCTGTCATATCTACCGTAGTTAATCATTGTTGCAGTGTCTATGCTCTTGTCAGTTTGTTTATAGTATTTCACATATCTTTTCCTCGCATGAAAACTTCCGGCTTTTATTTATTTTATACCTTCGACGGCGGATGAAACACTTGAAAGTCTGCTAATCTAGCACTTTCGAAATATCACTGCTATACTTTACCGTATCACCAACTGTATTAACCTCTATAGTCAGCACAAGTACAAGTACTAACAGAGATGCAAGTCTGTCTGGAAAGTCTGTATAGACTATATGCATTAATGGTGATTATTGCTGTCTTGTACACACAAAAGGTCTCCTAGCAACGAGTAACATGGATCAGATGCGTCGTTTCCGTAAAGTCATAACAGAAACTCTAGCAGCTAGTAACGAATTCAGTCGGTCAGTTATACATATATAAGTAGCTATACTGTGTTATTTACATCGATGACAGAGCTGCTTGTGACTATGACAATCGATTAAAAACTGATCCATATGAGAGCTAAGAAGTTAACCTAGGATTACTGTAGAAAGTGAATATAGAAAAGCTGAATGTGTGCAGTGGATATTGCAACTACTAGATCGTCGGCTAACGTAACTGATAGCAGATATCGTTTATAGTTTAGGTGCATTGCGGTAGTCTACTAAATAGGATCTTACCTTTACGATTACACTTACATTATTAAGTAGTTCGTCATCAATGGATACTTGGAATACAAACTGTTCTAATTACTACTAATATAAGAATGGTATGCTACCTGAGATCATCAGTGGCATAAATTATAGCTAAACTGACGTTAAATCGATCGTGAGAGGCCTTATTTATTGGTTCATCTATCAATTATATAGCAGATAAAATTTTAAGGATTTTATGAGAATTATACTTTAAAGCAAATTGCTAACTTACAATTAGAAGCAGCAATGCCTAAAGGAAGACAATACACCCCATCGACGAAGACTGACGGAAGATGGGTAAGTACACTGACCGAAATTTTTACATTTAACATTACCGAAAGTATTTTATGATACTTCTTTGAAATAGCTATTCCTTGTGAGTAATGTAGGAAATTCTAACACATTCTTCCATATTCACTAATGACTGAAGCTAAAAGAGTACAGATCTCACTCTCCACCTATGTCTATACCTACAACGTCTCAACGTGAGAGTTTCAATTTTGACAACAGAACCTGCAAATCATTTTCAACAGAACGGTTTGAAGATAAATATCGGGTACTATAATAACTAGAGTTTTACGCTAGCCATCGTTGTTACTCATTTAAGCAAGTAGAATGGCTCTTAATATGAATAAAATAGTTGTAAACCGTTACTGCTTCAGTATTACATAATGTAGAATCTATTTATTAATATGCTGATGGTACATACATTGCATCCTACTCTAACAAGTAATCAACTACAAGCCTAAATATTTCTAATTGTAATTATAACTAACTGCGTAGTATTACAATAAAATAAAGTCAGTATCATGAAACCCATTAATACTTTATAAATACCAAGTCAATTATGGCATGGTGGAAGCGATTTGATAAGCATAAAGCTATCTTTCTCACTCAATTTGTAATTGCTTCTTACAGAGTACTTTTAAAAATTTCAATCCGTTTTCCGTTCATGACAATCGTAAAGTTCACGAAACTAAAGGCGACTATCTAGATATGGTAAGATGCAATATATGTAACTATTACTTATTTAATATCACTTTATTTCTTGAATAACTTCATCTGTTTAATGATATATAAGTCGCTTATGTACAATTTCTCCGTCTATATCAATTTTTAAATTCTATTGCTTTTAAAAGTTTGAAAATAATTGATATCTTTTACCTAAATGTACATTTATATTACTACAGAAACATGGAAAACGTTTACTGCCAATCAAAAATAAACAGCAATTTTCAATGAATGAATATTTAAGTGAGTCATCGATCCCTACTGAGCGATCTCGAACTGTCTATAGATCAACCTTTGTCGGTCACGATAGGAATTTGATCCGCAATATTAACACTGCTCCGATTGTAAGGCGTTATCCATTTTCTCATCAAAATGTTCGAAGCATTAATGCACCACATATTTCTGTAACAAGCTTTGATTGGTACAACGATAAAGCCTCTAAAAGTGTAAATAGTTTACCCTCACTCAACCTACTCTTAAACAAGCCTGACCCTGATTTATCAAAAACTCATTGGAGATATTTTTATAAGTGTCACTGATTGCAGTTGTAATTACTAATCTATTAGTAGATGTATGAATTTATAGATTGCAAGTATAAAAAGTAACGCGTTTGGATTAAGATATCTCATATCAATTTAAATATTACTAGATAGGAATTCTGTCTCACCTTTCTAGTATTCGAAATATATAAGATATGTTACTAAGAATAAGTATAATTAGGTGAAGGAATATCCAATGGATATTAGTTCAAATTCACCTAAGCTACTACGGTATGAATCAAAAATCTATAGTCAGTTTACTGTACAGTAAGAATGCAATACATATACAACAATTATCATAATGCAGGGTTTTTAGAATATATTTGTTGCCAGTCGTCCTGTCTATTTTGGTAACTGAATAAATGAATGTTCTAAAATTTACTATTTAAACTTGATAATCGTTCAAATTAACTGTAAATCGGAATATAGACAAAGTAGCTATTTAGCTCCCTGATATGCATTACTACACATTCTTTAATTTCGATTTGTATCAACTCTTAAGGATCATACTCTAAGAGTTACACTTCTAGGTTGCCATTAGTGATGCAGTAAGAATCACTAAAATACATAAAAAAATCTGCCTTCTTAATTAATATTGAATGATCCAGGTCAGCTGTGTATTGGTGCGTGCTTTATACTGTTATGTTAGCGCTGCATGATAGAAATGCGAGTTCTTCGATATTCCGTAGCCGGTACATCTACAATATCTTCAATGATCAATGTACTGGTAATGCAATATACGGGTTAAAATAAATTCGCAAAAGGAATAAAAGCATAATACAGTATAAATAATGAGACATCGAGGAAGATAGTTTTTCGATTTCTCAAACCTATACGGAATCAGTATTACTTCTTGCAAAACTATAATATTGCTGTAATAGTTATCGATTCCATTCGTATGGTACTGATCTTACGAGGTTCATTTATAGTAAAGACCTTGCTTGAATATGAACATTTCAGTACATAATTTCAGATAACAAATTGATGCTAAATTCTGTATAATGAATCGTCAATCCAGTTTGACAGTGAATTGTACCTCATATTAATATCTCATTCAAGAAATACATGGTTTTTGGCAATATCATACAGAATAAATGCACAGATTTGATTAATTCTCTTTCACTTAGCACTTAAGCCATGATTTACGTAGTAGCTGTAATTATTACAGCCTGTAATAATGCACCGAATAGTTTATCTTTCATTCCTGTGCTGGTCTCATGCAGTTTATACTTTCCCAGCTGATTATAGGATACATTTTTACAATAGACATTTTTTAATATCTAAAATAGGAAACAAATTAAGCAAAAAATACAACTTGATTAACTCACAACAAGTTTCACATAAGAAATACATATCTTATTTATTGTACCATTACTTTACAATTCAGCTCAACAAGCAGGTGTGCAAATTTAAATTTTTTATACAATTTACTATTTTCGCATTATACCTTCGGCACCTTATTTCGCTTTTAGCTACGCTTGATGCCGCTTTATACATTTTATGTACCACATCATAACGTAATTACGAAAGTCTATTCAGATGCATATCCAACAAATGACTCACCGAGAATAAGATGTAAGCAAAGTCGTCAATAATAATGATTTAGTTGCTGCCAATGCGCAACATCACAGCACATCATTGCAACTACAAAAATATTTGCGAAGATATCGATTATACTCGTATTCCAATGTTCATTTGGAGATTGCACTACCTTCCAAATTTTGATACATATTACGTATTACTGTAGATGCTGTGTTACAGTATAGGATCGGAGTAAATAAATGATTTGTTAGCTAAAATCATCCAGGTTTCATGTAAATTGCATTTCGATGTATATCTATGTGCGACATAAAATGTAGCATAAAAATATGCTCTTAAACAGATTATGATTCAATAATATTCGCTATTTGGTTAATTGGTACATGAATTTATTAATTATTTAAAAGCCGATGGAAAGAGAAGCTAGTACTGGCCAGCCTTTGCACGCTTACTCAATGAAAAGATGCGTTTCTTGCTACTATCGGGGGATACAGTAAAAAATTATTACCCTATTCAGTGTTCCTATATATTTTAGCCTAGATGGTCATATTGTTTGAAATAAACCTGTCTCAGTTGCTAACATCAAATTCCATTTGCACTATCTCGTTTAATCCACAAGTGATTCTATCTCCAGAATATACAGGCCCATTTCCAGAAGCTCCAGTTAACAGTAGATCACCTTCTTCTAGGGTCATAAATTGACTAGCATAGCTAATTAGATCAGGTATTTTAAATAACATATCTTTAGTGTTGCATTCATGCACCATTTCTTGATTCACTTTAAGCCATAATTTAGTATCATCAGGATTTTTCAGTTCGTCTTTTTCGATAAATCTACTAACTGGGCAAGATGTATCGAATCCTTTCGCTATATCCCATGGGGCATGCTTCGTCATATCTATTCGATCAAATAACGTCATGTCCAATCCCAGTGCATAACCGCTAACGTAATTTAAGGCTTCTTCTTTCGGAATATTCTTGCCACGACGACCAATAACGCAGCCCAGTTCAACCTCGTAATGAACTCGATTATACCCGGGTGGTATGCGAATTTTCTCACCTTCTTTGATATACGAAGAAGTAGGTTTTAAAAATATGGCAGGAGCCTTTCGACCTTCAGCTGCTTGGCTGGGATAATTGAGTGCAGCTGCAACTACCTTCGTTCCACCCTCTGTAAAGTTACGCATAGTTTTCATTGCGAATAATCGATAATAATCCTCTTTAATCCTTGGCCAACAATTCAAAAGCTAAGAGTGTTCTATTCCAATTCAGGCCTGATTACAGTACATTCACTGCAGTAAAGAAATGAGTAGAAAAGTTGGGGTTTCAGGTTTTGACCAAACGGATTCAAGAGTTACGCCGTTGATGATCAATGGTTTATTGGTATTTTTAGCGGATGGTTTGCTCAATTTTGCTTTGAGTACTGTATTGTATGGTACATTATGGGTGTACAGCGTACTATAGAGTTAAGAAACTCTTATGTACACCGTATACTATACAGTGCAGTGTCATGGTACTCATCGACTACTAGAAGAAGAGCTAAATAGGACTGATCACTCTTGGACGGACAGACATTTTCGCCCTCATCTCGTCAAATACTGTATCGTGCCAAACAGTTTGTTACTCTAGTATGCAGACGATCGATTTTGAATCAACTGATGTTTTCTAAATTAAGTAATATTACATTGAGTTTTATTATCTATTACAAATTTCTGCTTGAAAATAGTTATATTCTGTCGTAGACACTTATTCAACTTAAATTAGTACCAGTGATTTCGAAAATAGACATGGATGATCTACAGTACACCCAAGTTGTCATTTTCCGATATTTAAGCCTTCATTTGGTAGGGAAGTCCGTCTGCCCGCACTGTACAGAACTGTACACTGAGTGTACAGTACAGTAGAGACCCTTCCTGTAGTGTACTGTAGACTGTATGATGCAGACAGACGGATTTTTTATTGTGAACAGCAGACTCTACCAAAATACTGAGCGTGCGCAAATGTGGTGAGCGAATATTGAATGAAAACTAGAATACTGTACTGTACTGTACAGTATACTGAGTGTACTTTTGTACAGTACAATAAGCGTACAGTACCAATCATCCCTGACAGCGAACACGTACGGAGAACTACTAGAAGGAAGTTTGACTGCAGTTACTTGGTTACAGTACATGCATCGCTGGAAATCGCAGCAAGATGGACGTAAGTTTCTTCAAAATTTCGCCTAAATGCATTCTGATAGCACAATTTGTACTCGTAATATTGAAAAAGAACTTATGAACAGGTTTAACTAATGCAGTTTGTCATATTGAATACGATCAATCTGCAATTATAAATGCGTAACACTGAGGTATCTGATTCTCTTCTTATACGAATATGTATCTTTTTGGATAATATGGGAAAACAACTTGAAATGTGATTAGAATGACTGGTAGAAATTAATGCAGTTATTATTCCTTCTACCTTTAGACTAGCCATAATAATATAGTGAAAATATCTCAGCCACAACAGCCCCAAAATGGTTTCATGCTAACTAACAGAGCAGTTGTTGAGCGTGATTATTCGGAAGGAATTACATGTCGGTTCGAGAAGTCCTTTCCAGTAGCATTACGTGGCAAGGTTAGTCATTCACGATCTTATGACCAATAGCGTAACTTAACATGGATGTTATTGCCTGCTAAAAAAAGAATTTCCATCAAATAAAATCATACTATGTTTTTGTTGCCTCTTACAAAATTTTTAACCTATTGTATAGATTTTAGTTAGTCTACATACAGTACGGTATTAGACAACCGAAAAATTTCGGTGAATCAGAGTGCTCGACCAGAGTCTAAAGCAGTCTATTTTCATAATGACGAGCATTCGAAGTTGTGTACGGATAGGGTAATCCAGTTTTTTTTCAACTAAAATAACGAAAATAGTAAATCAAAAGATGTGACCAAAGCGTGATTAGCTTACTTTAAAATTAAAGTCTATTTAGAGACCGATAATGAATGGATCTAAATATAAGATATATTCAGGATAATCATTCTAACAGCAGGTACAGAAATGACGTCCTCCATAGTACAGTATACAGTATGATATGGTTCTAATGAGTTTACTATACATCAATGACAAGAAACTGTCATTTGCTAGGGCTTTTAATCGTGAGAATTACAACGTTTAATACCGAATATTAACCAATTGCGCTGTACAGCATAATTTACATAACTTGTTTTTTTTCTGCGGAGTTCATTTGCTAACGGTAGAGCAGTAATTACGTGAGTAGAGCGAAATAAACTCTACAACAAACAACATAGAACCGTAATAGCTATCATTATAATTAGTAATAGTTACCATATCGATTTTGTAATATCCGATTCATGGCTAAAATCAAGTTTACAGTGAATTTAAACGTTATATTTGCACAAGTAACCAGTCAACTCTACTGTATAACAAGCAAAGTGAAATTACTCTAGGGTTGTTTTGAGTTATCGTATGCGTTTTGTAATTTGTAAATATCCGGTTTATGGCTAAATCGAGATTGACTGAGTTCCAATTCTTAAATTAATCAATAATTATAAATATAAATGTTAGTATTGAATAGAAGTACAGTAACTTTTTATTTCGAAATTTTCTTCAATAGATTGATGAGACTACTTTTTTGGAAACTATTAATCATATTAACGCAATATTTGCTAAAGCCGAAGCTCTGAATTTCCGTGCTTATCTACTTGGATGTTTATCGTGTTTGACAGCGTATTCTTCACTACTGTGCTTCCGTACCCATTACGAAAAAGTAAGTATAACTTTGTTCTTGGTAATTATCGAATACGGTCTTATCGCTTTCAATCATAACTTTTGTGCAGTGCCTTCAAGATGTTGCCAACTACATTGATGAACAAAATTCCTCAATCTATGAAGCTCGAGGGTTAAAAATCATCAATCCGATGGAGAAAGGGCTTCGAGTTGTATCCTTCTTCTTAATGTTTACATTTGCGAATCATGTTTTGTCGTCATTTTTAATATTCAAATTTACTTTTGCTCTCTATTTAAAAGATGTTACTTCCTTCACTCTAGCTAATTAACAGATTGAAATTGAATTCATTCCTCAAGTATAAAAAATTTTGCTATAAAGATAGCGCAAAGTGATGTTCATCTAATTGTATTATTACACCAATGGATAGATTTTGTGTATGAAATGAGATTATATTTAACTTCTTTACATCACTAGCCATATTAGATTTATTTTATGATTGTATAATGGTACATATTGATATACCATTGCAAACTATTCATGACAACTTGTGATATCTTCGATATAAGTAAGTGTACGAATGTGATTCAATTTTAATTAGTTTGCCCTCTTCTGGTTCTAAGTATGTCAGAAAACTTGTAAAAACTACTACCCTAGATATACCTAATGCCGGACATAACTAAAATTATATTCTTACAGGTCTTTTAAGTCATACATTCTTGAAATGTCGATCTTTTAATGTATAATGCTATAAATTCAGTAGTCTTGAACTCGTACAGTCCGTATAAAATATTTGACTGTTCCTGTATATATGCAGCGGCTGTAATATATGTTGGATTAGTAGACATAATTGTAATAAGCATGCACTTCTCGGCAATGTAGTAGTTATAATTAAATGGTTCTCTCGAAATATTGCTACTTGTGTCAATTTTGAACTGAAATTATATGACAGTTACTCTTTACAATCATAGATTATGAATTGATTAATACAGTGGCGATATTTCAACTTTTAATAAATAGCTAAATACAGTATCTCTAATTGCATTAACTGTTTCTTTTGGTAATTGTAATAATGATACATAGAACCCTTACAAGCCTTACTTATTTCTCATCGGTAGTGGAATGAGATCTTTTCAGGAAGGGTAATACTGTATGACTTCAATAGTTGTCTATTTAAGTCGATGCGGTTTACTACCATCATGAAGAATTTATTTCTGAATCAATTATCTACCTAGACATTTTAATCCTGCTATTATTAATTTTTATTTCAACTCACTGTAAATTATGAGATCACCAATATCAAAGTCTAGCCTGCTACTTCACTAAAGTAATTGCGTAGGTATTCAGGTTTACTGAATTGTTATAGACGAGTATCTCTAATTATGCATAAGTCGTTATACCGTTTAAATTTATAAAGTATTAGCTATACCCGTGAACGAATATCACCAAACTTTTGTAACTTAAAAATAATTTAAAATAACACAGGAACACATTCGCACGATAACCAAAGAGACACATGAGCCTGTACTACTTGCTGCCGAAATTCATCCAAGTAAACTGAACCGATTTCATCACAATTGTCTTGTATCGACATACAATCAAGGCGCCGAGTACAAACGATTTACAAAATGGTCATTGATAAATCACTGAAAGTCTGAAACTGTACATTTACTAGTAAATTATACTAATGATACAGTAAAAGATTCATTACTTGGCCAAATTTCTTGCAGATACTAAAACTCAAGGATTGTTTTATGATAGATGAGAGCGTTTTTGTTGATTCTAATATGAAAGGAAATTTACACTAAAAACTAATATGAGGCAACAGAAGTAAAAAGAAAGATGTAATGTATCAAGATAAAAACTTGGATAACATGAATCAACCACAAGATCAATCCACGCTGAATATACGCGTAGGTACCAGGCTGTCAGGTTATTCATACACTTGTTAATTTAGTATGACTACTTTGCAAGAGTCTGTATCAAGTCGTTAATACGTCAATATTGCGAAAGTATCTAGCATCTAACACATAAAATTGTCAAGCTTATACTACTAAATTGCACTTACTGAAAATGGCATGCCAACTGTAAAGGTGTCTATATTTAGTACCTTATTCAATGATTAAATTATATAACAGATCGTATTTGTAAATAATAGCAGTAAGATATTTCACTTAGTGCATTTTTGATCAGCTTTAGAAATACGTATACAGTTACCTTAAAGTTTTACTGTTATTCGGACATATTGCAACTTCTGGGGGGAGCGTACGGAATTTTTTAGTAATTTAAGAGATAAGGGTGCTATGCACACTAGTGGAAAGAAATACGCCATATGCTATATTAAAGTGAACCGGCATCATGCATTAGCACCACTATTAATTATAAATCGAGCTTATTTGGACCACAGAAGTAAAAGAAACCTCTAAAGTTTTGATGAAAGTCGAAAATTAGTATCTATCTGCTTATTAAATTACAAACATATTGTACATTACCCATATGAGTGTAAATGTTATCGTCCACAAATGTGACAAAACTATTCTTACTCATTACATATTTTTCAATCTTTAGATTATTCTCAAAGTAGACAAATTATTTACGTCCAATAAGAACGATTAAGCCCCACAGTAAATTAAAAGTAAAAGGTGAAATAATTCACTATAATTATAATCAAAAAATGCCATTTAAATGCCATTTAAATCTCGCTATTAGTTAAGTTGAAAGGTGAAATAATTTATGTAAGTTGACCTACGGTAATTATGATAGCATAATCACAGAATACAGAAAACGTTAATTATAACTTGTTCGCAGTTTGCATTGAAATCCCCTAGGCATAATCATGAATAAGCTTGTTATCGGTGAAAGGAACAGTTTAACAATATCTACCAAGGTAATACATGTATGTTGAAGAAAAAGTAATACTCCAGTAGTGATTCCATTACTCATTTCTGTATTTTATCGTCCTTATTGTTATCAACTAATCATGAGCCATGATATCGAATCTGCTCTGATGTTTTTTGAAAGCTAATAAAAGTATTTACAACATCAATTAACTAATTGTGATTTATCAACATCATTGTTAACAAATAAAATTTATATATTGTAATAAACAAGTTGTTTACTCTCATTTTAGGACAATTTTAATATTCCTTTTTCCATTGAAGAAAAGCCGGTCAGAAACAAAAGAGCAATCACAATATTAATTAAGATGTTAATTTGAATTGCTTGAAATGACAGTTAGAATCTTCATATATTGATTTTTATAGGCGCAATATACCCAGGAATCCCTATCAGCGAATAAATAATCATGCATCGATTTTTAAATATCGTAATCTTTACCATTCTGTGTATAAATTATTAATTGTAGTTCAAGTTGTTTACAAGACGTAGGAAATAATACAATTATTCTCTTGTTGATTTAGTTAGATTTACTATATCTCTATCAAAAATATATGTTTATTATTCTACAATCATGAAATGATTGCTTATCATCATCAACATCATAATATTCTAATTATGATATTCTAATTATGATCGAAATTGTAATAAAATTGTTGAGAACTTTTAGTTATTCATTTATAAATTGATTTAATAATATCATAGCAATAAGTAATCGTAATAACATTGCAAATATCTCGAGGCAGTTATTTCATTATGATACATTAGTACTCATTATAAATTCAATTTGATAATACTTTTTGGAGCTAAATTCTTACATATCAAAATCCCGATAGAATACTATAGCAATATGGCATCAGTAAGTAACGATGGTTATAATATTAATTCCTAAACAATACAAAAATGATCCATATTGCAGTAGGCGTATGTTGACAATAATACTAATGAATTAGATATCAATAACAAGCTGAGACTTTATTTTCAATTTGAGAAGATACGTGCCTAGTAACACAGGTAACAAGATTAGCTTTTGTGACACTAAATTTCAATCCTTTACTGCATGATTTACTCCTATTAATATTTGTAATTGCTAAATGATCTAAATCGGGATGTATCAGACTTTTCATTAAGACTGGGTATAGTCACCCTTATTACATAAGTTAAATCGAGCCAATGTGTCACGGAACAAATATAGGAAAAAGTAACAACGGTCATAAAACTTTATATTAAACTCGTACGCTATTTTATAAAGTAAAACTTTCATTTGAGTTTATAAGACACAAATAATATTCCATAGTGAAAAATAAAAATTCGAATTGTCTTTACATAAAGATCGAATAAGAAAATTAAGTACTATAACAAAAGGATAACAATCACAAATTTTTTTATAAATTTGATAAATCGATTTTATGCTATCGTTTATTGCAGTAATCATAACGTTCAGTTCTTACTATCATAGCCGTATCTCTAAACTAGGTAAAAATAATAGGGATTTTTACTGTTCTATATCATCTCATCGCAATAAAACTTTCCTTTGCTTGTTAGTCGTATTTTTTTTTAATCCTAAACGATTATGAACTCGATTGAAATAGAGCAATTGATATTTGAGCAATAGTATAGTTTGTCATTATATTTTTTATGTTT